GGTTTTCAGAAATATTGTAGTATTGGTTGCTAGTCGTCGTGGTCGTAGCTGAGCATTAAATGATCTATTTTCTACCAATCATCGTGGATATGGCAGTTCAATTCAAAAACAGCTTGAATAAAAATTCTGACAGTTCTCGTCGAGGGTAATTTTATTCCCCATACAAATTTCAAGATATTCCTCTAGTACCACTGGGGACGATTTTCCGTCGCTCACTGTAGTCTCGTGCAGCAATATGTTCAGCAGCGCCGCGAATCACGCACCCGAAATGTTGCAAAGGACGTTTTGGGTCTATTGTATGGTCGTGGCTTCGTCGAACTTGAAAACTGACTGCATGCTTGCATCCGTGCCGTTGCGGCGCTCCCGGTGATGTACATCACACTGTTGGCAAAACGTGGTGGTAGCAAACAAAGATAGCGGTTGATGTGCGCGCTGTCAGGCGTGGTATCCCCAGCGGCGGTGAATTTTCTTACGAATTCTTGAAACCGGTCGGTGAACGATTCCAGTCTCAGACCTTCGCTCCATTCCAACTTGCTCATTTGGAGCTGGAGGGTCACCAAGTTCACTTCTGACGCACTCTCGTAGATGTCGCGAAGGGCTTCCCACGTGCCGTACGTCGAGGTTGCCGCTTGGAGGAATTTCAGGTGGTCCGAGTGGATCGTGAGTTGGATGTTTGACAGCGCGACTAGATCGTCTTCCTCTGTGAAGCCCTCGAGGTACATACAATTGCTGGCAGTATACGGCTTCAAGCACTTCCTGAGACGTTGTTGGTTGATCTTGGCGCCTGTCTTCACGCACCACTCACGGTAGTTGGCCCCGTCGGCCTTTAGCTTGGTAGCTGAATCGATGTTGTACTTGGTAGTTGAATCTATGTTGTACGTCTCGGCCATTGGGCTCATTACATCATGTATTCCATGGCTTACTTGTGATGCAAAGGCGAGTACAGGATCCAACGTGATGTATTTGGAAGTGCTCATCTTACTCTACCCTAGGGTCTCCTTCGCGATCTTTCCGGTTGAATACAACCGGTGCAACAGGCTTTGTCGCCCTGGCCTCACGATCGGGGTGCCCCAAAGGGCCTGGGCCTAAGGGCAAAACCCACAACAGGTGGATCTTCTATTTTATTGTACATGGTAAAGTATATAGGTTTCTAATTTGGGTGCCATCAATAACGATAGGACCACATGCTTCATGGCCAGGTCCTTAACAATCTAGCAAATAAGAGAATCATCCGTCGGCGTAACGGATCATGTCGTCCACTGTAAGCCTTACCTTCATTTGCAAAATACTCACTCCAACATTGTATTTATCCGTACAAGTCGTATGGTTCATCCGGATGGTTTTGAAGGTTTTACCAAATTACCAAGGGATACAGGCAACGACGGAATGGTTCGCTTATCGAACTTAGTGAAGAGTAACAACAATTTTGACCTTATAAACTAAATAAAGGTGAGTGGTCAGCGATAATTTATTTCCCGCGCGCACTCCAACATTTAAATTTGAGATCAAAATTATATGGCACAGTTACTATAAGCATGCCGAAACCGCCTGAACCTAAGCATATCAACCAGACTCAAGGCCTCGACCTCATGAATTCTATCAGTGACTACAAAGTTGCCCCATCGGACGGCACAGCGTTCGCGGCGACTGGTGCTCCCACCGGGACAGTCCAGGTCTCATGTCTCGTCCAATCGGCCGCCGTCCGTGGTTGCCGTCCCCGAGGCGATTGGAATCGTTCGCCCCCCGAGGGCTGCGCGATCTTCTTTGCGCCAAGCCAGAGGTGCGCCTTTCAATGTCGGAGACGTCGAAGTTGAAATCTTCACTCTCCATGGTTGTCTGTTCCACCGAACGACAACAAATGCTTCAGCAGTAACTAAAGAATTCTTTGTTCTCACTCCCGGTCCTCGCGACGCGTAGAGCTGAGACTGTTGACTCTCACCGTCTTCATAAAAAAGAAAAAAGAAAAAGTACATTCGATTAGAGCTAGAGCTACCAGCTACTGACTACCAACCGCTTCACTTCGGCTGGTCGCCTTGAACAAACACTTCGGACCCCACCTACAGTATCGTACCGTCCTGGCGGATGTCCGAACCACCGCGAAGGCAGCGTACTTCTCGTGGGCAACGATCCCGCGGGAACAGCGCCATAAGACATCATATGCGCTATTTGTCGAGTTGGTACTTAATTTTAAATGCGAAGATAGTGGGCCATGAGTCGATTACTTTCAAGCCGCCAATACGCCCCTATTGAAACCACTAATAACGTCGGCTCTCAGTGATCGGCCGTACTCTTAGTGATCAGCCGAGTTCTATCACCCAATAGAATCGCAAGAATTTTGTGATTGGATGAAATTCGTTACTCCAACAACTAAATCCCTCATAATTTTATGGTTGGAATATACATGAGAATTCAGAGGCATCAAGCGTGTCAACCTTGAAAAATGCCGCCAAGAACCCTGTACACATCCGACGAGATTGCAGCCGCAGTGAAGGGCGTGATCACGAAGCAACACACCATTCCATCGCTGCCATAGCATCTGGCATCCCTCAACGAACGTTATGCACACATGTGACAAGAGCCAAATCCGGCTCTACAACGACCAAAGCAATGATGGGATCAACGCCCATCCTGCAGCCATCGTACGAGGCGGACTTGGTCACCTTGATCTTAGCTACAGTATGCAGCAAGATGGTCATCCTGTTGGACATCAATCCACCATGCACAAAGCCAGCCAGATGATGACCATCGTGCACGATCTCAACCAGCAGTACCAACTATCATCTGGTTGGTATGAGCATTTCTTGTGCCGCCATTCTGAGTTGAAGACGGTGATGTCTCGAGTCCTGAGCAAGGCGCGCAATAACGTTGACGTGGATGCAGTTGTCGACTTCTACCACGAGCTCGTGCATTCCATGTCTCTAGTCGGTTTCGAACCCTCGCGCGTGTACAACATGGATGAGACCAGCTTCAATCCAAACAAGGTGTAAAGGAAGGTGGTTGTGCATCGCAACTCAGCTAAGGTGTACGTAGAAAAGGCGTCGGCATCAGCACATGTCACGGTTGTGACAAGTGTCTGCGCAGATGGCACCAAAGTTCCACCTCGCTTTTCTTCCTGGTTCCCGCGTGACAACTGAAGTCTGTGACAACCTGAGCATCTCTGGCACAGCCGTTACAAATTCTGAGCAGGGATCGACGAATTCGTATATCTGCAGGAAGTGGCTGTCCATGCTGAATTCAGCTATCCCAGCGTCAACACCACGGCCGATTCTCCTCGTACTAGACGGCTGTTCATCGCACTACTCGAATTACATCTTTGAAGCTGCAATGTCGATGGCTTTCTGCTGCAGATTTTGCCAGCCAGCTCAACCCACATGTTCCAGCCATTGGATGTCGCAGTTTTTTTACCGTTCAAGCAAGCAATCCGCCGCGAAATCGCCGATGACAGTTGGGGTGATGTTTCGACAAATATCGCAAGACCAAGGCGATTGCTATTGGCGTTTGGATGACGCCGGAACAAACATCAATTTCCAACGATTTCGTGCGTACTGGATTATGCCCACCGTCGCTGGACAATCTGATGTACCGGCTGTCACTTTTCAAGCCGTCTGTGCAAGAAATTTGTGCCGTCGAAAACAGTTGGTTGAAACGTCGGTCGCAGGTGAGGGACAATTTGCTACTTCTGCCGCCAGAGAAACAATGAAAACGTCCAGAAAGACATGGATTGTGATCGGAAAATTCATTACAATTATCACGCTATTCTTCAAGCTCAAGCCGCCTCTCGACCAAAGTCACAGAAACAAGCTACTGGCAATGTAAGTGCATTGAGTAGGACAAATGTGTCGACTCGATTTTTGTGTAAAACGGAGAATGAAGCATAATTGTGGTCGTAATTCGTTCTGCCATTGTGTGTTGAGTAGCAGCAACCTGGTGGCGCAACATGTAAACTTCACACATGATAACAGAAATTTCATTCATGGTTCACTCTTGCAATTCTGGTAAAAAATTCAACAAAGGAGGGGATTAATCCCTGCATCTTCCGCATGCGAAGCGGGAGCTCTACAACGTGAGCTATTACCTCGGTTTGTTGCTGTGGTGACACGTATTACTATACCCCCCTTGCTTCCAAGATTCTATTCCTGTACAAAAATGATAAACCTTTATGAGATGGTTAATTTGACGGATTTACCCTTCATTTTCCCAAAGTTTAATCCAGTATAAATTCGGCTGATCACTGAGAGTCATGAGTGGCGTTTTCAACATTTTTTTGCTCATTATGGAACTGTTGGAGTTAATAGGTGACCAACTAATAGTGTACAGCATGTCTGGAGGAATATCAACATATAAGTCATTTCTTGCAGTTGTAAAAAGTGCCAGATACATCAAGTTTAGTAAGCAGAATTCGGCTGACCATTGAGAGACTACGTTAGTACTGTACAAAGTGCCAATTTGAGGTGTCGATGTTTTATTGTTATACGTCATCACAATATGCGACTTTCCCCTTCATTGCCACATGCAGTGGCAGCTCTTGTCGCGATTGTTCCATTGGACCAACTAAGCACGGGAAATTCAACTAAGGGAAGTCATTCAAGTTAAACATCATTTCCAAATACAATACTTACTACGTAAATGAGAAAATGGGTCACTTAAAGAATGCATTCTACAATTCCAGTTTCCAACATGTAACGAACAATGTAATTTTCTGACACTGCCATTCGATCCCGGAAGGGTTTTACCTCGGGAACCCTCCTAACGAGCACACCAACATCACACAATTTATACAGCATGCATCGGTATGTACAGTGTACAGTACTTACTCTTCTTCATCAAATCGACATGCAATAAATCTTATGTCAGGCATCACCTCATCCATCGTTTCGCTGTCACTCGTGGCAAATTGTTCAAGCTCTTACGCCAGCTCGTCCATGCTACGCGCCTCATGCTGCACGGTTAGGTCCGTTCTATGCCGGTATGGTCCATGGCATCTAGCTCGCTCAAGACACTGTCGTAGATTTCCTGCGGGCACAGCAAGTTCTCAGTTTGGAGTCAGTCCTTGGCGTACTTGTTAGTCCTTGGTAATGCGATACGGTCCAACCAAGGGGTAGTCCTCGAACTCAATATTTCAACGTTCGCCACCAGCGCATCCACATTTCGCGCTGTTATTCGATGTTGTAGTGACTGAATTGCAGCGAAGAATCCCAAATCCAAGATGTTCACGTCAGGTGAGTTTGGCTATTGCGGCTCAATCGAAAACGTCCAACCTGCGTTGCTATAGTTGCGAAGGTGGCCAGAAATTCCGCTTCTGATGGAGTGCTATGGGCTCGTGCGTTGTCGTGCTGGAGCATCACGTGTCGATTGAGGCTGGGCCACTTGGCGACAAGTGAGGGCAACACCTTGTCGATTAAGACCACTCGGCACACTTCCTTCGTCAAGATAACTGACTTCGTTTCATAGGTGCCCGCAGGTCGATTGGCACTGTCTCGCTGGGCTTGGACGGACTCAACGAAGGGCCACGTTTCAACTTTTCAGTCCCACCATTTTTCAGTGCTGTCAACATAGCGTGGACGAGCCACGCACTGAGGAACACCGCGTTTGTAATGTGCCTTTTCGACTTGTATATGCGATGTGATACTTCTGTCCAGGACGAGATAGTATTTACGGATGGATTTGGTAAGGTAAAACCACTCTTCATACAAGTGGACAAACTGCATCATATCGTCGAACATTGAGTTCGACGATTTCATGCTATAGTTTTTATTGGCTTCGGTCAAAAGAAGTCGGATTGCATTCGAGTGCAAACGCAAAAGAACTAACTCAAAGTAGCCATGTAAAGATGCGCTTTATTCCTAGAGAGAGTAAGGGTGTGCGTATGTTGTAGCACTTAAAGGCACGC